CTTGGTCAGCTGTCCGCTCCTGGTTCCCACAAACACCACAGTGTGTTCTCCGTAGGTGTAGGCCGCCACGGCGCCCATCCCCTCGGTGCGGTCCTCGTACAGCGGGTGTCCCTCGATCACCCTCAGGCCTCCCAGCGGCTGGTTCAGCACCTGGCCGCAGAAATCGTCTCCAATCTGCTTCGGCTGCGGAAACAAACGGATGGGTGATCAGATATTCTGCCTCCCAGCAGCTAAACTCTGGATCTGCTGCTGGTTTAAACAGCTGATAAGGAGTCAGGGGTCAGTATTTCATCCAATAATCTCCATTCTGAAATCCGGAAAGCATCAGAAGCAGAAAGAAACTGTCATTCAGATGGAAGCACTTCCTGTCAGTCGGCTCAGCACCATAGAAAGCTTTCCAATGTATCCAGATTTGGGTTTCATGACACATTCAGACTGATTTTCAGCTTCAAAGTACGAACATGTTTTAATATCAGCACTCCAAGCTTTTAACAGCAGGAAAACACTGTTAAAAGGTAGGGCTGCCATCATGCAGATGAATCATCAAAGCTGAGTCATCTGCAATGATTCTCAGCAGGAGACACCTGGACCACCGAGAACCTCACAGCTCCAACCTTCCAACCCCAAACCTCCACAGAGGAGGGGGAGGTCACACGTCACCAACACAGAAATCACATTCTTGGTAAATTTCTGGTTGTCAGAGAGCTTCCTGTTTTCCTCCCACAGTTCAGAGAGGATAAAGCCGGGAGGAGACGAGTTATTAAAGAGTGCACACACACTCAGAGGTCGGCTAACACCCTATCATTAACGGGTTAAAGCAGCGGAGCGCCATAGAGACGAAACTCTCTGCCTTCCTCCAGCAACCTGAGCTCTCCTTCTGCTGACTTTTCTTTCTTTCATTTACAGCGACCTGAGCTGAATAGCAGAAACATGAAGGAACCTCAAAATTCTACTCAGTTTATTTCTATAGCTCCAATTCCCATCATGTCATCTCAGGTCACTTTCCAGTTCACCAGATCATCCAGTCAGATTGATTCAAAGTTTTCTATCTAAGGAAAACCAGCTGATTGCATCGACTCATTGACTCTTCAGCAATCCCTCACACTAAGCATGCTTGTAGCGACAGTGGAGAGGAGAAACTCCCTTTGAACAGGAAGAAACCTCCAGCAGAACCAGGCTCAGTGTGAGCGGCCATCTTTATCGTCTCATAAAGACGTAGCATTTCCCATTTGTTCTTCATATTCTAATAAACCCCTAAGTTCGCACAATTTGACAGAAACAAAATGGACATTTAGCTCCAACCAGTTAATTTCAGAAACAGGAAATTTTGCATTATTTAGCTAATTAGCTGTAGAGAAGAAACTCATTCATTGCAGTTTTTATCTTTGTAATTGATCAATTTATTGCAAAGATTAAGGAGCGGATGTGAGACTAAACGCAAACATTTCACCTTAGCTTAGCTTGACTTATTGGTTTATCATAATTTATTACTTTTTTAGCATTCATTAGCTTCCCTTTCTCACTCATCCTAGCTTCTGCTAGCTTACATTATTTATTACATTATTAGGCTTTTATTAGCTTATCTCCCTTACGCTTATCTTAGCTTGATAAGTTCTAGAATACCTTAGCTTAGCTCAAGTTTATTATTTAAAGGCCAAACTTCTAGCTAAAAATCTAGCTTTGTTGTTTTAGCCTACCTTAGTTTATTTCATTTTATTCTGTTCTAGAATACCTTAGCTTAGCTCAAGTTTATTATTTAAAGGCCAAACTTCTAGCTAACAATTTAGCTATGTTGTTTAAGCCTACCTTAGCTTATTTCACCTTATTCTGTTCTAGAATACCTTAGCTTAGCTCAAGTTTATTATTTAAAGGCCAAACTTCTAGCTAACAATCTAGCTATGTTGTTTTAGCCTACCTTAGCTTTTTTCATGTTATTCTGTTCTAGAATACCTTAGCTTAGCTCAAGTGTATTATTTAAAGGCCAAACTTCTAGCTAACAATCTAGCTATGTTGTTTTAGCCTACCTTAGCTTATTTCACCTTATTCTGTTCTAGAATACCTTAGCTCAAGTTTATTATTTAAAGGCCAAACTTCTAGCTAAAAATCTAGCTTTGTTGTTTTAGCCTACCTTAGTTTATTTCATTTTATTCTGTTCTAGAATACCTTAGCTTAGCTCAAGTTTATTATTTAAAGGCCAAACTTCTAGCTAACAATTTAGCTATGTTGTTTAAGCCTACCTTAGCTTATTTCACCTTATTCTGTTCTAGAATACCTTAGCTCAAGTTTATTATTTAAAGGCCAAACTTCTAGCTAACAATCTAGCTATGTTGTTTTAGCCTACCTTAGCTTATTTCACCTTATTCTGTTCTAGAATACCTTAGCTCAAGTTTATTATTTAAAGGCCAAACTTCTAGCTAACAATCTAGCTATGTTGTTTTAGCCTACCTTAGCTTATTTAATTTTATTCTGTTCTAGAATACCTTAGCTTAGCTCAAGTTTATTATTTAAAGGCCAAACTTCTAGCTAACAATCTAGCTATGTTGTTTTAGCCTACCTTAGCTTTTTTCATGTTATTCTGTTCTAGAATACCTTAGCTTAGCTCAAGTGTATTATTTAAAGGCCAAACTTCTAGCTAACAATCTAGCTATGTTGTTTTAGCCTACCTTAGCTTATTTCACCTTATTCTGTTCTAGAATACCTTAGCTCAAGTTTATTATTTAAAGGCCAAACTTCTAGCTAAAAATCTAGCTTTGTTGTTTTAGCCTACCTTAGTTTATTTCATTTTATTCTGTTCTAGAATACCTTAGCTTAGCTCAAGTTTATTATTTAAAGGCCAAACTTCTAGCTAACAATTTAGCTATGTTGTTTAAGCCTACCTTAGCTTATTTCACCTTATTCTGTTCTAGAATACCTTAGCTCAAGTTTATTATTTAAAGGCCAAACTTCTAGCTAACAATCTAGCTATGTTGTTTTAGCCTACCTTAGCTTATTTCACCTTATTCTGTTCTAGAATACCTTAGCTCAAGTTTATTATTTAAAGGCCAAACTTCTAGCTAACAATCTAGCTATGTTGTTTTAGCCTACCTTAGTTTATTTCATTTTATTCTGTTCTAGAATACCTTAGCTCAAGTTTATTATTTAAAGGCCAAACTTCTAGCTAACAATCTAGCTATGTTGTTTTAGCCTACCTTAGCTTATTTAATTTTATTCTGTTCTAGAATACCTTAGCTTAGCTCAAGTTTATTATTTAAAGGCCAAACTTCTAGCTAACAATCTAGCTATGTTGTTTTAGCCTACCTTAGCTTTTTTCATGTTATTCTGTTCTAGAATACCTTAGCTTAGCTCAAGTGTATTATTTACAGGCCAAACTTCTAGCTAACAATCTAGCTATGTTGTTTTAGCCTACCTTAGCTTATTTCATCTTATTCTGTTCTAGAATACCTTAGCTTATTTTTTATTTTTTCTACCATATCTTAGCTTAGCTCAGGTTTATTTATCTATTTCTATCTTAGCTCATACTATTTTATTCTGTTAATTTTACTTTTTATTGAACTGAACTTTGTTTACTTTTCTGGGTTTAGCTAATTGCATTATTGACTAATGTAGCTTGGTTCATTTTAGCTTAGCACAAATTCAGACGTGAAACGCTTCCAATATTTTTAATAGTTTCTTGTTATATTATGAGATAAAAGCCATGATGATTTAATGAATATGTGTTAAAAATAAGTTCACAGAGGTTTAAATTTATTTTGTTATATCATATAATTGGAGCCTGCTGTTGTTGTTTATCCTTTGCAGTGACATACCAATAATTTCACAAAGTTCTCTGATCTCAGCCGATGGTGCTGCAACTTTATAATGAGCTAAAACCTGATGAGCTGCAGGACTGAATGGAGGCCGAGTCCTCACAAGCATAACAAAAGGCTGCTCAAACACACACCTCCACAGAGGACAGATTGTGGCCTGTTGAGCAGACAGGAAGCCTGCTGCTGAAGCCTGATGAAGAATGAGGCTGACTGTGTCTTACACACTCCACAATGCCATATTCTATCCCAACATCCACGCATGAACACACACACCCCCCACACACACACTCCCTGCTGTTGGTGACAAAAGAACCAGGTCAGAACTGGGGTATAAGCCCCGCCCCCTGCAAACACAAACTGATCCCAGATCTGTTGTTATAATTCATGGCTTTTATCAGCGTCCGCGGATTGACTGCGTCTTTTCGGATGGTCGGTTCCCCCGACTCCGTCCCGGCCCCACAACCCGGCCGCTGGCAGAGTTTCCCTGCCCTGTTGCCATGGTTACAACTGCAGGCCATTACAGGCGTGAATACGAACATCATCAACCCCCGACCTGAAATAACCCGTCTGCAGACTCAGGCCCCGTCCACACGAAGTCAAAACGAACACGAAACGCTGATTTTTTCCAAAACGTTTGCCGTAAAGACGGAGACGTAAAATAAATGTGAGCGTCCACACGAATGCATGAAAACGCTGCAAAATGTATGCCAGGCCTGTAAGTGGCGCTGTGGTGCCAAAGCAAAAATAAGCGACGAAATGTTGGGCATGCGCACTAATATTTATACATGGTTGCCCTGCGGGTCCATTTTCGTGGTTAAGTCAAATTCAGGTGCTGAACTATGTCGTCGATATTGCTCTGTTCTTCCTGGAGATATTCCAGAAGAAGAAGATTCTGTTGTAAGCCCGACAGCAGGGTGAGTAGCATGAGCAGCAACGGCGCCATTGTTGTTGTGATACTGGTCGCGCATGCGTGTGTAGAGGCGACGCTATGACGCATGCGTGTAAAAAAAAATATGCGGTTAGACCGTAAAGATGGAAACGCGAAAACGGCGTTTCGAAATCTTCCCACTCTGAAGGCTGAATAAAAAAAAGATCGTTTACAGACCCCCGAAACGCCGGCTTCGTGTGGATGAGAGGCTGGTTTGGTGAAAAATTTGTGCGTTTAGGCCAGGGTTCGTCTTCGTGTGGACGGGGCCTCACACTGAGACACATTTCCTTCAGCTTCGTTTTTCCTCCTTTTCCAGACGTCGCCGACAAAAGAAGCCAGTTTCAAGTCCTGTGGAGCGAATCTGGCTCAATCTGGGAATTTGATTTGATTCAAAGCGCAGAAAAACAGAAAATCTGGAAACCGTGAACCGCGGTTAGGAGGGAAACGTTAGCAAAGGTGAAGGGAGGCGTGAACGGATAATAGGTCCAAAGAACCACAACAGAAAAGTTCAATCAAATACGTTGTTTTTATTTAATCTGTTGAAAATCAGAATCAGCCGGAACCAACAGCAGAGGATCCAGAAATACGATTCATTTCTACGGAGGGAATTTTGTTCCTTCAGTTGCAAGGAACTCCTTTAGGAAATGGAAATTTTAAATGAAATGCAACTCAGAAAGGAAAACTGAATCCGAAAAGGTTTTAAGAGAAACGCTGCCCATTTCTCAAATTTTATATTTTTATATTTTTGTTTTTATTTTTTGACATTTGATTATTTCTTTATTTATTTTTCTTCACTTTGAGATTTGCAGGAAGGAAGGAAGGAAGGAAGGAAGGGTCAGTGAGGGTTACTCACCGTGTGGATGCAGTTAATCTCTTTGTTGAGTAACCATGGTAACGTGAGTTGTCCCTCTCCACGGTAACAGGACCGGATCCGTTCCTTCATTGCCAGGTTGATGTCATGCAGGGTGAAGAGACAAAGGACCGTCTCTCTGGGCGGGTTGGAGCGGTTCTTCTGACCCTGGAAACCAAAACATAGAGTCAGAGAGTCTCTGGTTCAAAACCCACAGAGGAGGAACGGCAGAAGGAGACGCCACACGGGAAAGTCACCTGTGAGAAGACCACAAACAGGATGTCGTCGTCCTCGGACAGGCCGAGCGCCTGGGCCAGCCGCCGGCCCGGTTTCTGCTTGTAGGCGGCCTGGACCAGGCGGTACTCCACGCCGTCTTTGGTGCAGCCCAGAGGAAACTCCACGTAGGAGTAGAACTCTGTGTCGTTGGAGCAGATCCTGACGATCTTGGAGGTGAAGAACTTCTCACCGCCGGCGTCCATCTGGGTCAGCTGCGTGTCCAGCTGCAGCGTCAGGAAGTAGACGTAGGTGCGGCTGGAGAAGCCGTACACGTAGTAGATGTCAAAGGCCGGGTACGTGGACAGCGTGTCCGACGGGATCTTGATCTGCGAGGACACAAACTCGTCCTGGTAAACCAGCAGGAACATGTGGTCGCTCTCCTCGTCGGCCACCAGCTTCCTGCTGGACAGGGTGGGGAAGTACTCCGACTTCCCGTTGATGGCGGCGCCGATGAACAGGCGGCTGCTGCCTTTCAGCGGCTTCTTCCTGCGGGACTCGGACGTCCAGTCTTCCTCTCCGACCACCACACCTGCAGAGGAGGGGGAGAGAGCGGTCAGAGGAACTGGATCAGAACCAGTTTGGTTCTACATACGAGACCTGGTGCATGAGGAAAAATCAGTGCTGCGTCCGACTCTGAAAACACCGTCCCCACTGCCAGACATGGAGGCGGCAGCATCATGCTGAGGGACTCGCTCCGTCCAGAACAATCCTGGCAGAATGCTGGGCAGAGGTTCAGCTTCCTGAGGACTACAGGGTTCTACGTAAAGAGAACGTTTGTGGTTCTACAGGGTTCTAGGTAAAGACAACGTTTGTGGTTCTACAGGGTTCTAGGTAAAGACAACGGTTGTGGTTCTACAGGGTTCTACGTAAAGACAACGTTTGTGGTTCTACAGGGTTCTACGTAAAGACAACGTTTGTGGTTCTACAGGGTTCTACGTAAAGAGAACGTTTGTGGTTCTACAGGGTTCTACGTAAAGAGAACGTTTGTGGTTCTACAGGGTTCTACATAAAGACAACGTTTGTGGTTCTACAGGGTTCTACGTAAAGAGAAGGTTTGTGGTTCTAAAAGGTTCTACGTAGAGGGAACCTTTGTGGTTCTACAGGGTTCTACGTAAAGAGAAGGTTTGTGGTTCTAAAAGGTTCTACGTAAAGAGAACGTTTGTGGTTCTACAGGGTTCTACATAAAGACAACGTTTGTGGTTCTACAGGGTTCTACGTAAAGACAACGTTTGTGGTTCTACAGGGTTCTACGTAAAGACAACGTTTGTGGTTCTACAGGGTTCTACGTAAAGAGAAAGTTTGTGGTTCTACAGGGTTCTACGTAAAGAGAAAGTTTGTGGTTCTACAGGGTTCTACATAAAGACAACGTTTGTGGTTCTACAGGGTTCTACGTAAAGAGAAGGTTTGTGGTTCTAAAAGGTTCTACGTAGAGGGAACCTTTGTGGTTCTACAGGGTTCTACGTAAAGAGAACGTTTGTGGTTCTACAGGGTTCTACGTAAAGAGAACGTTTGTGGTTCTACAGGGTTCCACATAAAGACAACGTTTGTGGTTCTACAGGGTTCTACGTAAAGACAACGTTTGTGGTTCTACAGGGTTCTACGTAAAGACAACGTTTGTGGTTCTACAGGGTTCTACGTAAAGAGATAGTTTGTGGTTCTACAGGGTTCTACGTAAAGAGAAAGTTTGTGGTTCTACAGGGTTCTACATAAAGACAACGTTTGTGGTTCTACAGGGTTCTACGTAAAGAGAAGGTTTGTGGTTCTAAAAGGTTCTACGTAGAGGGAACCTTTGTGGTTCTACAGGGTTCTACGTAAAGAGAAGGTTTGTGGTTCTAAAAGGTTCTACGTAGAGGGAACCTTTGTGGTTCTACAGGGTTCTACGTAAAGAGAACGTTTGTGGTTCTACAGGGTTCTACGTAAAGAGAACGTTTGTGGTTCTACAGGGTTCTAGGTAAAGACAACGTTTGTGGTTCTACAGGGTTCTACGTAAAGAGAACGTTTGTGGTTCTACAGGGTTCTACATAAAGACAACGTTTGTGGTTCTACAGGGTTCTACGTAAAGAGAACGTTTGTCGTTCTACAGGGTTCTACGTAAAGAGAACGTTTCTGGTTCTACGTAAAGAGAACGTTTGTGGTTCTACAGGGTTCTACATAAAGACAACGTTTGTGGTTCTACAGGGTTCTACGTAAAGAGAAGGTTTGTGGTTCTAAAAGGTTCAACGTAGAGGGAACCTTTGTGGTTCTACAGGGTTCTACGTAAAGAGAAGGTTTGTGGTTCTAAAAGGTTCTACGTAGAGGGAACCTTTGTGGTTCTACAGGGTTCTACGTAAAGAGAACGTTTGTGGTTCTACAGGGTTCTACGTAAAGAGAACGTTTGTGGTTCTACAGGGTTCTACATAAAGACAACGTTTGTGGTTCTACAGGGTTCTACGTAAAGACAACGTTTGTGGTTCTACAGGGTTCAACGTAAAGACAACGTTTGTGGTTCTACAGGGTTCTACGTAAAGAGAAAGTTTGTGGTTCTACAGGGTTCTACATAAAGACAACGTTTGTGGTTCTACAGGGTTCTAGGTAAAGACAACGTTTGTGGTTCTACAGGGTTCTAGGTAAAGACAACGGTTGTGGTTCTACAGGGTTCTACGTAAAGACAACGTTTGTGGTTCTACAGGGTTCTACGTAAAGACAACGTTTGTGGTTCTACAGGGTTCTACGTAAAGAGAACGTTTGTGGTTCTACAGGGTTCTACGTAAAGAGAACGTTTGTGGTTCTACAGGGTTCTACATAAAGACAACGTTTGTGGTTCTACAGGGTTCTACGTAAAGAGAAGGTTTGTGGTTCTAAAAGGTTCTACGTAGAGGGAACCTTTGTGGTTCTACAGGGTTCTACGTAAAGAGAAGGTTTGTGGTTCTAAAAGGTTCTACGTAAAGAGAACGTTTGTGGTTCTACAGGGTTCTACATAAAGACAACGTTTGTGGTTCTACAGGGTTCTACGTAAAGACAACGTTTGTGGTTCTACAGGGTTCTACGTAAAGACAACGTTTGTGGTTCTACAGGGTTCTACGTAAAGAGAAAGTTTGTGGTTCTACAGGGTTCTACGTAAAGAGAAAGTTTGTGGTTCTACAGGGTTCTACATAAAGACAACGTTTGTGGTTCTACAGGGTTCTACGTAAAGAGAAGGTTTGTGGTTCTAAAAGGTTCTACGTAGAGGGAACCTTTGTGGTTCTACAGGGTTCTACGTAAAGAGAACGTTTGTGGTTCTACAGGGTTCTACGTAAAGAGAACGTTTGTGGTTCTACAGGGTTCCACATAAAGACAACGTTTGTGGTTCTACAGGGTTCTACGTAAAGACAACGTTTGTGGTTCTACAGGGTTCTACGTAAAGACAACGTTTGTGGTTCTACAGGGTTCTACGTAAAGAGATAGTTTGTGGTTCTACAGGGTTCTACGTAAAGAGAAAGTTTGTGGTTCTACAGGGTTCTACATAAAGACAACGTTTGTGGTTCTACAGGGTTCTACGTAAAGAGAAGGTTTGTGGTTCTAAAAGGTTCTACGTAGAGGGAACCTTTGTGGTTCTACAGGGTTCTACGTAAAGAGAAGGTTTGTGGTTCTAAAAGGTTCTACGTAGAGGGAACCTTTGTGGTTCTACAGGGTTCTACGTAAAGAGAACGTTTGTGGTTCTACAGGGTTCTACGTAAAGAGAACGTTTGTGGTTCTACAGGGTTCTAGGTAAAGACAACGTTTGTGGTTCTACAGGGTTCTACGTAAAGAGAACGTTTGTGGTTCTACAGGGTTCTACATAAAGACAACGTTTGTGGTTCTACAGGGTTCTACGTAAAGAGAACGTTTGTCGTTCTACAGGGTTCTACGTAAAGAGAACGTTTCTGGTTCTACGTAAAGAGAACGTTTGTGGTTCTACAGGGTTCTACATAAAGACAACGTTTGTGGTTCTACAGGGTTCTACGTAAAGAGAAGGTTTGTGGTTCTAAAAGGTTCAACGTAGAGGGAACCTTTGTGGTTCTACAGGGTTCTACGTAAAGAGAAGGTTTGTGGTTCTAAAAGGTTCTACGTAGAGGGAACCTTTGTGGTTCTACAGGGTTCTACGTAAAGAGAACGTTTGTGGTTCTACAGGGTTCTACGTAAAGAGAACGTTTGTGGTTCTACAGGGTTCTACGTAAAGAACGTTTGTGGTTCTACAGGGTTCTACGTAAAGAACGTTTGTGGTTCTACAGGGTTCTACGTAAAGACAATGTTTGTGGTTCTACAGGGTTCTACGTAAAGACAACGTTTGTGGTTCTACAGGGTTCTACGTAAAGAGAACGTTTGTGGTTCTACAGGGTTCTACGTAAAGAGAAAGTTTGTGGTTCTACAGGGTTCTATGTAAAGAGAACGTTTGTGGTTCTACAGGATTCTACATAGAAAGAACGTTTGTGGTTCTACATGGGTTTACGTAAAGAGAATGTTTGTGGTTCTACAGGGTTCTACGTAAAGAGAACGTTTGTGGTTCTGCATGGGTTTACGTAAAAAGAACATTTGTGGTTCTAAAAGGTTCTACTAAGAGAGAACGTTTGTGGTTCTACAAGGTTCTACGTAGAGAGAACATTTGTGGTTCTACAGGGTTCTACGTAGAGAGAACGTTTGTGGTTCTATAAGGTTCTACGTAGAGAGAACGTTTGTGGTTCTACAAGGTTCTACGTAGAGAGAACGTTTGTGGTTCTACAAGGTTCTATGTAGAGAGAACGTTTGTGGTTCTACAAGGTTCTACGTAGAGAACGTTTGTGGTTCTACAAGGTTCTACGTAGAGAACGTTTGTGGTTCTACAAGGTTCTACGTAGAGAACGTTTGTGGTTCTACAAGGTTCTACGTAGAGAACGTTTGTGGTTCTACAGGGTTCTACGTAAAGAGAACGTTTGTGGTTCTACAGGGTTCTACGTAAAGAGAACGTTTGTGGTTCTACAGGGTTCTACATAGAAAGAACGTTTGTGGTTCTACATGGGTTTACGTAAAGAGAATGTTTGTGGTTCTACAGGGTTCTACGTAAAGAGAACGTTTGTGGTTCTGCATGGGTTTACGTAAAAAGAACATTTGTGGTTCTAAAAGGTTCTACTAAGAGAACGTTTGTGGTTCTACAAGGTTCTACATAGAGAGAACGTTTGTGGTTCTACAGGGTTCTACGTAGAGAGAACGTTTGTGGTTCTACAAGGTTCTATGTAGAGAACGTTTGTGGTTCTACAGGGTTCTACGTAGAGAGAACGTTTGTGGTTCTACAAGGTTCTACGTAGAGAGAACGTTTGTGGTTCTACAAGGTTCTATGTAGAGAGAACGTTTGTGGTTCTACAAGGTTCTACGTAGAGAACGTTTGTGGTTCTACAAGGTTCTACTAAGAGAGAACGTTTGTGGTTCTACAAGGTTCTAAGTAGAGAGAACATTTGTGGTTCTACAGGGTTCTACGTAGAGAATGTTTGTGGTTCTAAAAGGTTCTACTAAGAGAGAACGTTTGTGGTTCTACAAGGTTCTACGTAGAGAGAACATTTGTGGTTCTACAGGGTTCTACGTAGAGAGAACGTTTGTGGTTCTACAAGGTTCTACGTAGAGAACGTTTGTGGTTCTACAGGGTTCTACGTAGAGAGAACGTTTGTGGTTCTACAAGGTTCTATGTAGAGAACGTTTGTGGTTCTACAGGGTTCTACGTAAAGAGAACGTTTGTGGTTCTATAAGGTTCTACGTGAGAGAACGTTTGTGGTTCTACAAGGTTCTACGTAGAGAGAACGTTTATGGTTCTACAAGGTTCTATGTAGAGAGAACGTTTGTGGTTCTACAAGGTTCTACGTAGAGAACGTTTGTGGTTCTACAAGGTTCTACGTAGAGAACGTTTGTGGTTCTACAAGGTTCTACGTAGAGAACGTTTGTGGTTCTACAAGGTTCTACGTAGAGAACGTTTGTGGTTCTACAAGGTTCTACGTAGAGAACGTTTGTGGTTCTACATGGTTCTACGTAGAGAACGTTTGTGGTTCTACAAGGTTCTACGTAGAGAACGTTTGTGGTTCTACAAGGTTCTACGTAGAGAACGTTTGTGGTTCTACAAGGTTCTACGTAGAGAACGTTTGTGGTTCTACAAGGTTCTACGTAGAGAACGTTTGTGGTTCTACACGGTTCTACGTAGAGAACGTTTGTGGTTCTACAAGGTTCTACGTAGAGAACGTTTGTGGTTCTACAGGGTTCTACGTAAAGAGAACGTTTGTGGTTCTACAGGGTTCTACGTAAAGAGAACGTTTGTGGTTCTACAAGGTTCTACGTAAAGAGAAAATGTGTGGTTCTATAGGGTTCTAAGTAAGGAGAACCTCAGATTTAAAATCTGGAATGGTTTTTTTCCCGTTCTAAAGGTTCTGACCCAGTTTCAGTCTAAAGGTGAAGCAGTTCTTCAGGTGTTTGGAGTTCAGGAAGCCTGAAGCCCAGATGGACCCATCCCGTGGTTCCGTCTTTAGAACCAGCCCTGTCGCTCCCTCTGAGGGTTGATTAGCCCCCCTCCCTCAGCAGCCCAGCTCACCTGCCATCCCATCAGGCTCCTTGGCTCCAGACAGGTAGTGCTCCTTCCGGTGGTGAGGTTCTCCCAGCTTGAAGAGGTCGTCCAGCCTGAGGAACTGGCAGACCCCCTGCCAGATGGAGCCGCACGCCACCAGTCTGTCCCCAGTATAATCCACCAGTAAGAGCTTGTTCACATTGTCTGTATAGTCCAGCCTGGGGGCGGAGACACAGGGGACAGGTGAGACAGGACAGCACAACCAAAGGCAGCCAGGTGAGCTGGCAGACAGGTGGAGACTGACCGGTGAGCGCACGCCCTGACGCTGGGGGGCGGGTAACACTTGGCGTTGTCTTCCACCGGTCCGGTCACGTGACTCTTCTGCTCCACCAGGTCGGGGGACAGCTTGATGACCCGGTTGACGGCGCCGACAAACACCTCGCCCGTCCTCTGGTGGACCGTCAGGTGGGTGAAGGAAGTGTCAGGGGGCTTGTAGTCCGCCCTGCGGGACTCCGAGGAGGGAGGGGTGGGAAGAGCCGGCACCAAGAGGAGGAAGGAGAGAAGAGGAAGGAGAGGAAGAGGAGAGGAAAGAGAGGAGGGGGGCATGGTGAAGAGAGGAGGAGGGATGGAGGAGTGAAGAGCTGACTGCAGGTCTGATGGAGACTCGTCTTCAGGAGTTCATGTCTGCAGAGACACAGAGAGTCCGAGTCACTTAGACGGGGTTAAAGGTCACAGAGACAAGGTTATCATCAAAACGACTCATTTTACTAAATAATTCCTCCACAGAACGTCTGTGATGGTGCAGAATAAAAATATATTTAATGTAAAAAAATGGGTTTTATCAATGTTGGCGGGTCCAGAAACAGGATTTATGCAACAGCAGAATAACGGGTTAAAGTCATGTGACACGTTAGAAGCTCCACGATGGAGCTGAGGAACAGCTTCTCTGCGTTATGTTTATGATTTAGGCCCCGTCCACACGAAGTCAAACCCTGGCCTAAACGCACAAGTTTTTCACCAAACCAGCCTCTCATCCACACGAAGCCGGCGTTTCGGGGGTCTGTAAACGATCTTTTTTTTATTCAGCCTTCAGAGTGGGAAGATTTCGAAACGCCGTTTTAGCGTTTCCATCTTTACGGTCTAACCGCATATTTTTTTTTTACACGCATGCGTCATAGCGTCGCCTCTAAACACGCACAGTATCACAACAACAATGGCGCCGTACTGTGTTGAACGGTTGCTGCTAATGCTACTCACCCTGCTGTCGGGCTTACAACAGAATCTTCTTCTTCTGGAATATCTCCAGGAAGAACAGAGCAATATCGACGACATAGTTCAGCACCTGAATTTGACTGAACCACGAAAATGGACCCACAGGGCAACCATGTATAAATATTAGTGCGCATGCCCAACATTTCGTCGCTTATTTTTGCTTTGGCACCACAGCGCCACTTACAGGCCTGGCATACATTTTGCAGCGTTTTCATGCATTCGTGTGGACGATCACATTTATTTTACGTCTCCGTCTTTACGACAAACGTTCTGGGAAATATTAGCGTTTCGTGTTCGTTTTGACTTCGTGTGGACGGGGCCTTAAGCCCAGCTCATGACATCAGCGAGGAACCGTGAGGAAGGACAAAGGAAGAGGAAGCAGGAAGCTTCCTTCCATAAGGAAGGACAAAGGAAGAGGAAGCAGGAAGCTTCCTACCGTGAGGAAGGACAAAGGAAGAGGAAGCAGAAAGCTTCCTACCGTGAGGAAGGACAAAGGAAGAGAAAGCAGGAAGCTTCCTACCGTGAGGAAGGACAAAGGAAGAGGAAGCAGGAAGCTTCCTTCACTAAGGAAGGACAAAGGAAGTGGAAACAGGAAGCTTCCTTAGTAAGTAAGCACAAAGGAAGAGGAAGCTTCCTTCCGTAAGGAAGGACAAAGGAAGAGGAAGCCGGAAGCTTCCTTCACTAAGGAAGGACAAAGGAAGAGGAAACAGGAAGCTTCCTACCGCAAGGAAGGACGAAGGAAGAGGAAGTAGGAAGCTTGCTGTTAAGGAAGGTCAAAGGAAGAGGAAACAGGAAGCTTCCTTCCATAAGGAAAGACAAATGAAGCAGGAAGCTTCCTTCCGTAACGAAGGACAATTAGCGTTAGCAGACGTGGCAATCGACAGCCAGACCATTACAATTAATTCAATTCAGCTTCAATTAGGAAAAATATCTCAAAACGTTATAAATAAATAAATAAATAAATAAAAGATGTTTTAATAAATGCGTGAAGAAATTACAAAGTCCAAAGAGGTTCTGGCCTGTTCTGCTGAATGATCCGTTATGAAGAACATCAGCATCATGATGATGATGATGATGATGATGATGAGCATCAGTCAGGATGAACATTAAACCAGAACCAGGTCCAGATCACCGGCCCAGTCCAGTCTGCCCCATCAGAACCAGTCCACTATTTCTACTGAACTGGGTTCTGGTTTTATTGGGTTCTATGCAGAATCAACACTCACAGGAACCAACTACTGGGTCGACCCACTGACCAGAACCAACCGGAACCAACAGCTGGACATTAAATATTTTCCACGATGAAACATGGAGACATCCAGACCTCCGGACCAGAACCAGACCCTGATGCCTGTTGGATTCAGGGTCCGGAAACAAGTCTACCTGACCCGAAAAATCCTGAACTATCCTCAGATCCAGAACCACTCCAACAGAACCGGCAGCACCAGAGAACGGACCCATCAGAACCCGAGGATGCTGGACGGACTATAAGCAGGAAGTGGCTGCTGTTAGACTTATCCGGGTCTGAGCTCCTACCTGGTCCAGGTCCTAAAGGCTGCTGATCCAAAACCAGAAGCTATGAGAACCAGAAAGGTTTCACTCAACTGGACTTTTGGGGACTTAGACCTGTTTCAGCCAGAATATTCTGGGTTTGAGCTGAAAATGTGGTTCTGACTTGGACTGAGAAGAACCAGAACTTTTCTACATTTTGTAAAGTTCTACATAAGACGGATCCCAAAAACCCAAACAGAGGTTCTGTCTAAGAGGAAGTCTGGAGGCTTCTAGACCCGCAGACAGAACCGTCGGAACCAGCAGCGTGTTTGGGTCGATGTGTGTAGGATCGGTGCAGAGGGGTTCTGATCCGGTTCTGTCTGAAGCCGAATCGGATCAAATCAGATCACAGAGAAAATGGCCGTGGAGCCTCAAACTGGGCCTAATGGGTCTGCAAGGTTCTGACTGCATAACCAGAACCTTCAGGTCCAGTTTCTCCAGAACCATAACGAGATAGGAGACAGAAAGGCTCACAACCGGGTCAGAACCACATATATAGACTAAGCTGTAGATTCTTGGGGAAATTAAACATTTTAAAAAACGGGTCGAACTGGGTCTGATAGAGTCTGACTCACTGAGACCCGTTTAGACCCGGTTCTGATAGGGACCGGATTCATCGCCGCTACAACATGAAAACCAAACCGGGACAGAACTCAGCAGCGGGTCTGGGACAGAACCACGGAGGGGAAAACAGACGGCCTAATCCAAGTCCAGACCTGGAGTTTTATGAGAGCGGAGCAGAACCGGACCTCTCCTCAGAGCGGTGCTGAAAATAACGCTGACGTGGGAAGTTTGGGTCGGACCGGTTAGAAAGTTTCCAGCCCAGCAGCCGAGACGCACAGGAAGGAGCAGAACAATTAACCCTCTGACTCCCCCTCACCCCCCCACCACGGCGGGACAAAGAGGCAGTGAAAGATCAGCACTTAGTTAATTAGCCTGCTGAGCGGAGGGGATCGACAGGCGGACCGCTGGCTGGGGGGGGGCAGACAGCTGGCCTCACTGACGACACAGAGAGTTTCTCTGGACCGTCCATCACAGCCGACCGGGTCTCAGCCAGCAGGAAGCTTCCAGATCAGGCTGCGGTCCACCAGGTGCCTTCAGGCTCTCCGTAGATCGTAGGAAAAACCTGGAAGCACCGATCAGTCAGGAGAAGCTGCAGAGATACGAAGGCGGAGGAGCTGTGGAAGCCATTTTAATCAGGTTCTTCAGAACCCTGGAGAGCTGCTGGTTCTCCAGCTCAGGAGGTTCAGGTCCTTCCCACAGGGAGGAGAAGGCGGGACAGACGCAGAACTTTCTGGAAGTTCTGCTCTGAGCCAATCAGCATCAGTTAGGCCTCATCAAGCGAGGACTGGGAACGAATTTCACCCAGTCAAACAACGGTTGTGGATCAATTTTCACAATCGCAGGACAACCATCACCAAGACTTCTATAAAGCGGTTTTACTGGCGTTGGTTATAAACACGGACGCCGTAACATCCAAACTCACCGCATCAGCAGCGCTGCCAGACGTCACTGACTCACGTTTTCCAGCCCAAAAAACATCCAGAAACCGCCTGGATATATGAAACCTGGCCCAACTTCAACCAGAGTCTATTGATCTATTAGGCCAGAGGTAACCAGTTAAAAACCAGTGGGTCCGAATAAAGAAAATCAACCAGTAAAGGAGACGTTTTTAATTATAATCTGTTACTTTAAACAGAATTTAACACTGAAATAAAATGAGGCGTTTATGGATCCATGTTATACATTGACTTTTTAAGTAGAAAATATAAAAAAAAATATTTTTTTACCTTTTATAATCAAAAGTATTTAAGTAGAGAACAAAAATCGTTCAGTTTGGTTTATAGATAATTTCCTGATTCCCATATTTTCTCAAACCCCTGAACTGAGCGTTTGTTATTTTCTTTCTTTTTTCTGTCTTAATGTTGGCAGTGGGCTTTAGGCTGCCCTGCAAGGCTTTAAACCTGAGTTTAACCGGAGACTAAGCCATTCTCAAGCACATATCAAGGAGCTCATTTTGAGCCTGGATCCAGATTTATTGTTGATTCTGTTCATGGTGGAGAATCCTGCTTCACAGCAGCAGGTTGAGCCAAACATCCTCTAAATGTGCAGGGTCATCTTTGAGCACGCCATTTCACTTTTCTTTCACCAGTTCACCGCAGTTCTTCCAGCAGTCCACACTTTCTCTGCTCTCTTTTTCTCATGGTCTTCTCCTTCTTTCCCATCGCCCGGCTTGCCACAGGTTTGCCTGCTGTGTCTAAAAGTAGCAGCAGCAGCAACCCAGACTGACAGCTCATTGGCTCATTTGGATCACGTGCAGCTTGGAGCCGGACGCTCCCCAGGGCTTTACCGTATTAACAGGAGAAGAGGCACAAGTGAAATTAGACACTGTTGTCGTTCAAAATCAGTAATTTATAAATGTTTTAAATCCGTTTGGGTCCGGATCTGGACCCAATTAGTGAGATAATTTACACTGAAAAAAAAGAAAAAAAAAACAACTGCATAACAACTGCTTATTTCAAGTGTAAATTATCTAATTAACTTATTCTAAGAGTAAAAATACTCATTCTATTGGCAAACTTACTTATTTTCCTGCTCAAATTAAGAGTAAATTCACTTAATTTAAGGCATTTTCACTTATTTCTAGATCATTTTTTCAGTGTACTGCGACATGTAGGAGCTTCGTTGTTGGTGCAGAATAAAAACATATTTAATGTAAAAATTATGGTTTTATCAATGTTGGCGGGTCCAGAAACAGGATTTATGCAACAGCAGAATAACGGGTTAAAGTCATGTGACACGTTAGAAGCTCCACGATGGAGCTGAGGAACAGCTTCTCAGCGTTATGTTTATGATTTAAG